GAAAAGATTGGATGTTGCACTCAGTGCCATGGTCTAGTTGACATATTGATGTTAGGTCATGTAGGTTGGTCTCAATGATCCCAATGGTCTTTTCCAACCTAGTTGATTCTGTGACTCTGAGAAGGAGGAATTCTTCAGAGAATAAGATCATGCCTTGATATGAGCAAAGCAGTATCTCAGAATAGATCTGAATCCAAGTAATAAGGAAGCTACACCTGGGCCCAGCACTCCTACAGCATTTCCTTCCCTGATTGAGAGCTCTCAAATGGAGCCTGTGTCTGGTGTGTAGCCTGTGCAGTGCCTCATACTGACAGAGGGTGTATTACACATCAGCTCCTTGAAGTGAGTCTTCCTCAAGTTCAGAGTCCAGTGTCCATTCTGTTTGCTCTTTTCTGTATTGGCATCCGTGTTTTGAATTTCCACACAGTGAACTCCTGTACCTGCCCACTGCTCTTCCTTGCCACTTGCATTCGCGCTGGTGCTTTGTAGCCTAGCGAGGTGATTGTGTAGCTCTCCTGGCTCTTAACCATACACTCCTTGTGGGGTCCTGTTACTTGTCAGGTCAGCACAGTGCTGGCAGAGCTCCTCTGCCTGCACCAAAGAGTGCAAGGGAGGCTGCTACTGCAGGAGATTCTCTCTCGAGAATTGTTTCTCTCTCTCAAGGTTGTTTCCAAGAGGAATTAGATGGAGTAGCTCGTCCCGTGCAATGGGCTGCTGTTGGCACTGTTTTCATTTGCTGTCCAAAACCTTTCATCCATGCCTGACACAGATAGTGTGGGGCTATATGTGAGCTTATGGAACTAACTGCTTGGGGAGTACAGGAGTTCTCTCCCACTGGGATAATCAGATTCAGTTTTGGAGCCTGTGTTTGAACCCAGAGCAACAGGGCTGTGAATAGAAACTGAGTCAAATGTACCTGAGAAACCTGAAGTGGTTGAATTGAGTCTGTGAATAAATTTAATGAATAGCTGAATTACCTTTCCTTCCCATTCCCTGGGGCTTTGATCTTATGTTCTTTTTCCACAGAGAATCCACTGGGCAGACTGAACAAGTAAACAAAGAGTCACTTTTCCTAACCTTACTTTATTCTAAACTACTATTCATAGTCTGCCTGATGGATAACCCAGTTATCAACAGGTCTTGTCCCCTTCAGTCTGACCCAGCTGTTACTCCCATTGTCTTGGGGGCAGAAAGGTATAAAGAAAAAGAGATACTCCCCTACCCCCATCTTCTGCTACAGAGAGAAGAAAGGGGAAAGACATGCACTTTGTACACATAGGTTACAGAAATTGTGACTTCTGTCATTTGGAGAGTTTCATGCTTAGGCAATGGTCTGTAAATAAAACTTTTTATAAGTGTCTTTAACCCTCTTTTTGATGTCATCCAATTATTTCACTTGGTAAATGGAATTTTTGGGGCTGGATCTGTGGGGGTAAAGAGTCAAAGGGAGGGGAGGCTACATCTCCTAAGTGATCTAGAAGGCTTTGTGGAGGCAGGGGAGATCACATTTGCAAGGTTTCTGTCAGTACCTGGGATATGGATGGTGGTATTTGGAAGAGCTGCAACTCAGGTAGTAGCACTGGGAATGATACAAATACATCAGGCCAGCCAAAGAAAGATAAGGGAAAAGCTCCCTTCAAGAAACCTTGTAAGTAGGCTGGGATTCACCCACTCTGGCATCTTTTCCCAACTGAAATGATAAAGGTGGGTAAAACTGTGTGACAAGTAGGGAATGACTATTCATTGTTTTCATTAATATTTAGAATTGGGCATGCTTGGTTAAAGTACAAGATGGCAGGTTAAACAAGTCTATGCCTTGCTTAGCTTTGTGACAAGTTCTTCCTCAGTTGTGGGTGCTAACAGTTTGAGTTCAAAAAGATTTGGCCAGTTTATGGGGAAAGAAGCAGCCATCAGTAACCATTAGTAAAGATACCATCTTTGTTTCATAGGCAGCAGGGGACTGCTGGAGGCCGTTGTGAAGAAAGTAGCATGAAATGGATGCCAGTTTGGGGGTTCCTGTTTCCTGTGTTCTGTGTCTCAGGGCAAGCTGGCAGTACCTGACACAAGCACCCCCAACATGGGGCACAGTGTGAGCTCTTGGCTTGGGCAGAGGGAGCAGTGACTTTGGGGTGCTCACCAGGATGGCCTGAAGGCTTCTTTCAACTGAGGGTAGATACTGGGGCAGAAAGTCCTACCTACAGAGCTGTGAACAACTGTTCTAACTAGGGTCCCCTGCCAGTGGTGGACCTTTGGCTAATGACTTCCAAGCTAAGTCATGAGCTTGTATTAAATACACTAGACTTAGCAATCAAATAACTAGCAAGGACACAGTCAAGTTCTTGTGCATCCAGCTGTCCTCCTTGGTGCTCCTGTGTAGACCCACTTAGTGGAACCTCTAACTGAGCAGAGTTCCATGAGGTACAGTACTTTTCTTAGTAACCAGCAGGACTTAGGAAGTGCACGAAGCCATGCAGTTCCTTGTCGAGGTTCAGCAGTGGGGCTGATCTGGGACAGGAGTGCCTCAGCTCATGGTATTGCTGAATTGTTCTCTTGTTTCTGGCAAGGACTTTCTGGTCTTGAAAAAATAAAACTTCAGTGCTTGGGGTGGCTCACACATGGCTAAAACCTTTTGAAAACAGCAGCCTGTGCCTTACAAGATGACAAGCCAGAATGATAGTAAACTCAGTCCAGCTTTTTCTAGCCTGAGTGGAATAATGTAAATCAAAGCTGGAGAGATTGGGTTTGAGCCTCCTCCTCTGTGCTGGCCAGAATATCTGTTTTACCTGTCACAAGAATGGCAGTGATGTGGCTCAGGATTGGAAACGGCTAACTTTGAATTTTTAGCAGAACTGCCTGCTCCATGTGCTGGTGCTTGAGAAAATCCCCTTCCTCCATGTCTCTTCTGTCTGCAAAAGGAAGGAGCCAGAGTGGCTTCAAGAGAAGGTGGCTGATAGGTCTGAAAATAGAAAACACACCTGGATATGAGAAATGGAGCTGGAAATGTGGCCATTTCAGGCAGAGGGGGAAAGGGCAGAGAGAAGGATGACTGATGCAAAGAGAGCAGTCTGGTATCACAGCTGCACCTGGGTGGAGACCAGGTGGTTCTGCTGGGGAGGAGGAACAGCAAAACTTCTCTAAGCACATAACCTCTCCTCAGGTTTCCTTTAAGGCTGAGTTGGTCTGAAGTGAACCTGATGGTCAGTTGGACAATTTGAAAGAGAAAAATCAGCTGATGGCTTGTGAGCAGAGATGCTGGCTAGGATGGAAGTGCTGTCTCTTAATTTGCAGCAGATGTGTGTGCACTCTCCCAGGGGCCCTGTGCTCTGCTGTGCATCTAAGGAGTTGACCTGACTGACAGCAGTGCAGGTAGGAAAGTCAAATTGGGTCTTCTGCCAGGCCAGCCTGAGCCAGGGCTGGTGACTTGACTAAAGGTCAGGTCACTAAGGGGTGAGCTTTTGGTGGTTGGCATCCAAGCAGAAGGTGAGCTGCAGTGGCAGTGATCTGGCTGTGGAACAAGGCAGCACCCTTACCTCCTGCCCCAGGTCAGAGGCCAAATAACAGCCATGCTGCAGAGAAATCACATTTTGGTAGGCAGGGTTTGTGCTTTGAGATGGAGCTACATCAAAGCTCCCTGAATGAATGCTGCTGAGTCTCTTGGGTCCTGCATGTATTACAGTTCAGTCTGTGCATCCAAACAGCAAAGGGGACGCTTAGATCACCCTCAAGAGGCTGCCCCAGGGTTACCTGCACATGGTGATCCCGGGGCTGTGTGCTTGTCTCCTTGCTAGTCCAGGAGTAACATCTCTTTTCAGTTTGTCTGGCAGGAGACTGAGACTCCTGAGAGAGAGCAGGACTGTATGCCTTGGAGGGCTCTGCTTGCTCTTCTCTCTGGAGGAGCAGCTGATGTCCTGGGTCTTGGCCAAGAACTAATACATGGCCTCAGTGGCAGTCAGCTCTGCGGTGTGAGAAACACTGGTGGGACTGGATGTTTACACTGCTAAAGAAGTGCCATTCATGCCATCCAGGACTGTCACAGACAGGGACTGGGAGCACAGTGGGCATGCAGGGAATGAGGAAAGTTCTCCTGTTCAGGTACAGAAGTAGCCTTGAGATCTAAAAATACTGATGCTGTCCACTTCTGTCCACAGCAAAACCTGCACAGTTTTCTGAGCTTGCAAAGCTTGGGGAGGAGAGGTAGGGAAGAGAAACCTGCTCAGGCTGGTAAGGAAGAGTAGCAGCAATGAGTACCCACCCAAGACAAAATGGTTCTTGAGACATAGCTGGATACAAAAATGAGTCTGCCCTTTCTGGGGAGAGACCTGAAACCTTGAGATGCATTTTTTCCTTCCTTTGTGCCTGTGGAAGGTGTGTGTATGCTGCTTTTTAAATTCCCTTTGCAGTACTTGCAGTCCTGGTGAACTTCGACAAGGACAGGGTTTGTGCTGGGGCTGCCAGACCTGTTGCCAGGAGCGGTAACCATGCCATAGGTGCCAAAGCACAGCCTGGCTGTTCCTGCTGCCTCCAGGCCCCTCCTCGCTGCCGAAGAGACCCCTGCAAGCCCCTCTGTGTGCAGCCCCTCGCCCTGGGCTCTTGCCTGCCCGCTCAGCCGGCCAGCCCCGCTCCTGGCCTGGCTCCTCCCGGCCTTGGGAGAGCCCGGCCATCCCCCGCACCTGCCCTTAAGGGTGCAGCCTCCAGCTGCGGGCACAGCTGTCCCGCAGGGGCCGGCGTTCCTCGAGCCCCGGGCGGAGCGGATGGGGTCGGGGTGCGAGGTGACGCCTCCATGTGTGCCGTGCCTGTCCTGCAGCTGCCGCCGGAGCCGCGGGATGGATCCTCCGGGCCGCGCCCCCGCTCCCCCCGCCCCGGCGGCAGGTATGTCCCTCCCCGCCGGCACCGCCAGCATCCCCCTCCCTTCATCCCTCCTTCCCTGCCTCCCTCCCTCCCGCCCGCCCTCCGCCTGCATGGAGAGAGCCACAGAATGGCGGAGCGAGAGAAAGGAGCTGCATCCCCGCCCGCCTCCTCACCCTTCCTGGGGCTGCACCTCGCCTCGCCCCCCAATTTCAGGTACCGGCCGCCGTCCCCCCGCGGAGCCCTCTCGGGGCAGCCCCTGCCCCCTGCCCGGGGCAGCGCTCCCCGTCTGCTGCAGCCCCTCCCGCACGGCCCCCGCCTCCTCCAGCGCTTCTGCCCCTCGGCGCGCGGCCCCAGCCCCAGGCATCCCTTCTGCCCCCCGCCCCAGGCCCCGCTGAGCCCCCTCCGCGGACATCGCTCCAGCCCCCCATGGCTGCTTAGCCCGCCCACCCAAGCCATGCTGGCCCTCGCCCCACACATACACCGCTGCAGCTTCCCAGCCCCCCTGCTTGGCCTCATGCTCCCCTCGCACCCCATCCCGCCCCCTTACCTGTCTTATCTCCTCTTCCTCATGGAAGAAAAAAGCTTCATCTCTCTCCCCTCCCCAAGGAAAGCCTTTTTCTAGCCCTTTCCTAGAAATCCCAGTTGCTTCTGCTTCCTTCCTGCTCCTGTGAAACAGGAACCCCAAGTGAGACGGAGGGAGAGTGCCAGAATTGATCCTCTTAGCAATACCAAGTGATCCCATCGATTTGGGATGCAGGGGGCTGTGTCTCCTCTGAAACCCAATGAGGCTTGTCACAGGGACTTCCGATGGCATGGGCCAGGCCAGGGACGCCGGTGGGCTCTGGAGCCTCTCGTGCCTGCCAAGGGTAGCTATGGGACAGGGATGTGCTGGGTGGGTAAGGGAGGAGCCCTGCAGGTGCCCTCACCGCCTGCAGGTGCGGTGTTCACTTGCCATCAGGGGTGGCTCGCTGCTCCTGGCAGCTGTGCCCTCGTCAGCCATTGCTCTCTGCTTGCCTCTGCCATCCAGGGTGCTGGGGGGAGCTGTCTGTGAAAAGGGGAATGGTACCAGCTGCCTTGCATGCTGAGATTTTGGGTGGAAAGGAGGGGATGGTCCCCTCTTGGGACCACAGCAAAGCTCATGCCCTCCTGTGTCAGGCCCAGCCCCTGAGGCTGGGGAACCCGTGGGTCCCTGTGGGAAACAGATGGGTGCAGTCGAGCAAAGATAGTGTTCAGGCAATGAATATTTGAAGGGCTCTGCTGCTGGCCCCCCGTTGCTGGTGGCTCCGGCTCTTTGGCACTGCCTCCTATTGCAGCGCTGCCTGCGAGAGCTGCTGGGAGCTGTTGCAACATGGCTGGTATGCCCTGCAAAGGCAGCGATTCAACGCTGCCTCTGGAATCCTCCACCATGCAGAGGGGCTTGGCCACTGAGCGAGGGGCCACAGTGCTGTCCTGGAGGTGTGGCTGTCCCCTGGGCGCCCTCCTGCTCCCCAGCACACAGCCGTGCCCTGGGAGGGAGGACGAGCTGCTGCTTCTGCCTGTGCCTCAGATCTTTCCAAAAGGAGCCCTGAGTGCTGCCAGCCTGCTCCAGGGAAGAACTGACCTCATGAAGGAGGCTGTGCAGCTGGGTGGAAAACTGGGGAATCAAGACAGGAGTGCAAAATCTTCCCCGGGCACCAAGCTCACAGTGCAGGCGGAAGAAGATGCAGTGATGTGTCTGACCCTGGGGCAGGGTCTGGCAGATCAGAGGCGATGTTGTGGCGGGGAGTGTCGTGGGAGAAGGGAGCCATGCTTGTGAAACACAAGCTGGGTTATGTGTCACAGCTTGGCTTGTGCATGTCCCAGGTCCTGCATGCATCCCTGCTGGAGGGCTCAGCGAGGGGCTGTTCCCCACAAATGACCCAGCAGCGATGAGCGCAGTTCAGAGTGAGGGCTCAGACCATGGCTGGCAGTGAGGTGGGCCCTGCCCTCTGCCCCTGCTTGCTGCCTGCAGGATGAGGTGTTTCAGGTTTCTGCCCTTTGGCACATGCCCCTGCACTCCCAGCTCCGAGTGGTGACACGCCAGCCCAAGCATTAGGTGATCGGTTGGCTTGGATTGGGAGAGGGCTTGGTCCTGGCCAGCAAGCAGACTGAGCTCTGAAGAGACCAGGCATAGTGGCCTGCCCATGATGATTTGGGGTTGTCTGAGAAGAAGTGGGAGGAAAAGGATGGTGAGGTGATCCCTCCTTTAGCCAGGAGGTCCTCCAGAGGTGTCTGTTCATTGTAACAAAAAAAAACATTTTAGGAGACAGCAGTGAAAAAGTCATTCTCATCCATCCTCCCTGTTTTCCTTAAGCTTCCCAAAGCCTTATAGTGCAGTCTGTGTTCACTGGAGTTCCTCAACATCTTTCTCTGAGACACTGTGTGGCAGCTCCTTGCCCTGCTAAGAAGCTTTGGCAGTGCTTTGTGGTAGGCTTTCCTGTGAGGGGCTCTCTGGGGCCTCTCTGGGTTAGGGGTCCCTCTACCCAGCATTAGAGGGACAGGGAGGACTGGCACATCTGGGGCACAGCTGGATGCAGGGCCCTGCAGAGCTCACGGTGTTGCCTGCCCTGCTGTCCCCAGGACTGTGGCTCTAATGTAGCTGGAACCTGGGAGGGGTCACTGAATGATCCCCTCTATCTCCTTCAGCTTTCCCTGATAAAGGCAAAGGGCATCCACCCAGCTTCTGGGCAGGAAGGCACCTAGGAAAAGAAACCCTTAGGGAGTTATTTCCACAGGTCAGAAAGAGGGGAAACTACTCCTCTACTCAGGGAGCCCTGTCAGAAATCACAGCCCTTTGGGAAGGGAGGGGCTCTCTGGGGGAAGAAGTTCTCTCAGTCTTGTCGGGAAGTTCAAAGAGGCACCTCAGGCTGAGGCAAAAATCATTTTAGCTCAGTGGTTTGTTTTATGTGTCTGTCGTGCTCATCTGGAGCTGTCAGCAAAGCCTGTTTGGAGGCAATGAATGAGCTGGGCGTCGGAATGGGGCTGCCTGTCTTCTTGTGAGGGGAGACGAAAGGGTTGTCCTCCTCTGATGGGGGGGAGAGGAGCCTTCCCATCCATTCCAATGAAGCAGTCTCTGGCCACTGAGATGGAAGAAAGAGACAGGGCCAGTGAAATGTAGGTTAGTGTTATTTTTTCCACCGGTGCTGGTTACAGGACTTGCTCACAGCACCTAACAGCAGAGTATCAGAGCATGGCTTGGGCAGCTGGGCCTGTTGGAGCACCCAGCTTCATCACATCATTTTTTTGCCCTGGTTTTGCCCTGCATGGAAAATCCTCTGCAGTGGCAGTGGGCTGGCAGGGAATGGCACAGCAGCCAGGACTGATTTTAAGGCTGTTCTTTGGACTGTGATCAAGCTGCTCCTGCCATGGGCAGGTAACATCTGCCTCTGTTCTTGCACCCACGTGTGTACTCTTGCTCACAGTTCCTGAGAATTCCAAGTTTATCACTTCTCATGCATACAGCAGGGCTGTCCACCTTCAGGTGCCTCTTGGCACATCCTTCAGGAAAGCACTGATAACCTGCAAGCACAGGGTTCTCCCACCCTCACAAATGGAGACAGACTCCCACATTGCTGTGATGCCATGGCCATTGGCAAGGGAAGTTGACCAAAGTACACATGTATTGTGGATTTTGTACTGTGAAAGTCCTGCTCAGACTTTCACTGCCAGTGATGGAGCTGAGAGGAGTCAGAGCTGTTTCATTTTGCTGGTATTTTTAGCCTCTTTGAGAAGGAAGAGAGAAAGGAAGGGGTGTTTCCACCACAGGGAGCAGAGGTGGGTAATGGAGAGCCTTCCTTGTGTTTCCTGGAGCATCCATGTGAGAGGAGCAAAGGGCGCGAGTAATACGGAGATGGAGATTTCTTTATTCGTTGCATTAATTGAGGTTTCAAACAGATGAGGTGCCTCCAGGCAGAGCTGATAGGGAAAATGGAGTCCTGCATGCTGTTCTTGTGGGGCTGAGTGACAATGACCACGGTATCACGTGTGACATTCACCAGTGGTGAGGCACTGATGGGGAGAGAGCTTGCAACAGGCTAGCTGAGCAGGGCAGTCCAGGCCCTGAGCTGGGCTCCTGCGACATCACCCACCTTAATCTGCCCAGGAGCAAAGCAGGTGGTGGGAGATGCACCCATTACTTGAAGCTCCTAGAGTGGGTGTGAGTGAGGGGCAAGAGAGCAGTGCTGAGGTGGGTGGCAGTGGGGGTGCCACCCCACTGTGCATCAAAGTGGGGAGGGGGATGCCCTGTCCCCATCTCAGAGCCATGGTAGGGGCCTCTTCTAGAGCTACTTTGGCTTCATCTTGATGGGGCAAGGAGTGAGTGGGTCTGAGAGGTGTGGGGGTGGTTTAGGATTATCTGAGGCTGCTGTACTAAAAGTTTGTCAGCAACACCTGATAGGCCCTCCTGGGAAAGACCCTTATTTCCTTCAGCAGCAGAAGAGGGGTGGGAGCTGGCAGAGCAGCTCACCAGGTATTTCCCTGGCCCTCAGTGTGGGTTAGAGGTTGGGGAAGCCCAGGAATGATCCTGCCTGAGGCAGGAGTGGGTCTGGGGGTTAGGTGGGGGCAGACAGGGAAGGGGTGGTGCTGCTAGCACTGCTCTGCACTGGCTGGGCTTGTCCCTTGGCAAAGGCATTCCCCTCAGCTTGGAAGTGCAGCTGCCATGACGCTGGTCCCACTGTGCTGGAAACACTCTGGCCTCTGCCTCAGAGAGGGGCCTCGCTCCACCTGGTGAGAAGCTGGACAGATACTCCTGTCTGTGTCCCCTTGCTGTGGGGGACAGCAATGCTGCAAGGGCAGGAGAGGCCGGGTGCTGAGGGTTTCCATGATGGGGTGCTCCTGTGCCCGCTGTGGGTGCTGAGGAGCCGAATGCTGGAGCGAGACCAGGAGCCAGGCTGGCTGGCTGGCAGGCAGAGGCAGTCAGCATCCCCAGCAGAGTGCAGGGACTTGGCACTGGCTCAGCTGGGGAGGTTATTTTTTTTTTTTTATTTTTTTCCCCTCCAGGACAGCTGATTCCATCTATTTTTAATGAGCTTGCCCAGGTTGCGCAGTGAGGATAGAGAGCAGCGCCGGCAGCCACAGACTGCGACGGGGCAGGCGGAGAGGCAGTGGGCACCCCGGGTCAGCTGCCATCTCCCTCACGGCTCCCCACAGCAGGTCTGGGGGTGTTTTTTGGTGTGGGAGTGTGTCCCCCGGTGAAGGGGGGTCCTCCTCAATGCAGCTGCCCTTGAAAATGGAGTCGAGCACCGAGGAGGAGAGCTGGCTGGAAGATCAGTGGGAGAAATGGTAGGGGACCGGCTGGGCCTGGGGAAGGGGGGCCTTGTCCCGCGGGCATGCAGGGGGGTGAGGGGCAGCCCCTCGCTCCTGGGCACATCACCCTTCTCCGCCAGTGATGGCCACAGGACAGGAGCAAACTTGGCACGCAGCTGAGCCCAAAGTTTTCCTGGCTGGGCAGGAGCTGTGTGACAGCCAGGCAGCAGAGTGGCAGAAGGTGTCTGGACACCTCCTGCTGCGCCCCAGCGTCGGCAGGCAGGGCCGGTGCTGGGGAAGCCGCTCAGCATCTTCCCATCCCGAGGGCATGGGCAGGGCTGCCTGTTCCATGTGGAGTGGGGGCACTGCTGCCCTGTCAGGCTGCTCCTGCACGGCCAGGGAGCCCTGGCAGCCCTCGGCAGTGCTGTGGCCCTCAGCGGGCCCGCAGTGCTCGCTGCGCTCCCGGCATGGCGGGCGAGGCCCCGAGCATTAGCAACGGATGATGTCCCACCCTGGCGACCCGTGTAACCCGAGAAGAAATCGATTTGTGCTTTGAAGCAAAGCACAAATCCTGCTCCGCGTTGCCTTCCTTTCAGGGGCAGCAGGAGGAGAAGGGGGGGTGGGTCCAGCCATCCCACCCTGGGCTGAAGGCTGTGTCCTTGCATTCCTGTTGTGTCTTGCAGCGGCTGCCTCCATGGCTGTGGTTGTTCCCAGTTGTCTTCACCCCAGGATACCACTACTGGTGGGGTCCTCAGAAACACAGAGGGAAGATGCTGCTTCTCCCATGGGCTTCTCCCACTCTTTTCCCTCTCCAGGAGCTGGGGCAGGGGAGATGTTACCCCTCCATGCCACTGGGTTAATGGCACTGCATGTGGGAGCCCCAAGATGTGCAAGCAGTGCTTAAAGTGAGAGTGGGAGCTCTGCAGGTCACAAAGCACCATTCTCATTCCTTTCTCGCTGCACTGCTGGGGACCAATCCAGAGATGGGTGATGGACTTGGCAGAGCCCTTTCACCCAAGTGTCTCCCAGCCAGTGGAGCTGGGAGCAAAGGGGAAAGGTAGCAAGCAAAGCAGTGTCCATGGCCACTCCAGACAAAACTCATGGGTCTGAGTACGTTGGCCAAGGACTTTTGAGTTGGGTTCTTTTATTTACCCCTGTGGTAATGAATAAGTGAGAAGAGCATTGCAGTACCACTATGTTGAAATGTTTTAGTGCTCAGAAGCCAGGAGCACCTCATCTCTCCCCCGGGGCTCATGAGCATGTTTTCAGCAGCTGAAAGGATCTCTCTTATTTTGAAGGGGTGTAAGGAGACTGTATGGCTGGGGCTGAGAGCCCTAAGGGGCCCTGAGGCCATGCAGACCAGCTCAGCAGCACTGATGTTCACAGGGATGCCCATAGTCACCCCGGGGAGTGATTTTGGTGCAGAGGGAAATCGCTGCCCTCTCTTACTGCAGGCAGCTGGGCTGGGACATCCCTGCCAGCTGCAGCTCAGGGGCTGGTTGTGCCATGGCTGAGAGGTTTGCTGTGCTTACAAGTTCTGTGGGTCTTGATGTGGTCACCTGTCCCAGCAGGTCCATCCTCCAGCTGTGCCCTGGACACAGCCTTTCCAATTGCTGTAACCCTGGCCTTTGCCCTGTTGGGTGTCTGTGCCCAGCTGGGACAATGCCAGAGGCTCCCTGGGATGGTGTGAGCAGAACAAGCCTCCTGTGATGGGGCCGGCTGGTCTGTCTGTTCCATGTACTCTCAACCTGCATGTCCCTGCTGTCTTTGGTCAGGCAGAGACTGCTTTGGAACACACTCCTCCTGCCTCCCAACAGCCATGGACTGTGCCAAGCCCAGCCATTCATGGGGACAGACGTGTCCCCTCTGGGAAGAAGCTGCCTTCCCAGTCTTTCTTCCTAGTGAAGACTGGGAGAGCCTCTCCTGAGGTGTCAGTGCTGCTCCCAGCCCACAGGCACCACAGCACCCTGCACCCTCCTGCCCACCACTGGGACAGTAGGTGACCAGGCAATCTCCACTCCATCCAGGCTCACCCATGACATCAGCCTTGAGGAATTTGAGGATGAAGACCTCTCTGAGATCACTGATGAGTGTGGAATCAGCTTGCACTGCAAGGAGAGCCTGGCCAGCAGGGTAAGTGTGATGGGAATGGGGAGAAGGATAGGGATGGGCAGAATGTGCCAGTGGGGCTGGCAGGACCATCAGCCCACATGCAGGACCACCAGGTCCCCAGATGCGTGATGCTTTCTCAAGGCACACATTGCCATGGTCCCATCCCCTCTGCTTGGCAGTGCCCTCTCCTCACTCCAGCACAGTGCAGGTCCTTTCTGAACCAGCCAAACCCAAGGGACAAAAAAAAAGCATTTCAAAGCTGGTGCATTTTGGTTTCCACTGTACTATAGGGGTTGGAGTTTGTTCCTCAGGGATGAGCCCAAGGATTTGAGTGCAAATGGGGGCATGCCCCCATTTGAGCAGGATGACCAGCGAGCATCTGGCACCTGGCAAGCATTCTCAGGAATCAAGGACATCTGCAAGGTGGCACCAAGATCCCACCTGGGCTGTGCCTCTTGTCCCCACATGCATCCCTGGACCCGGGGATGCAGCTGGGCTGGCATGGTGAGAGCTGCCTCTGTTCACAGGAGGTGTTCTCTCTGGCTTGCTAGCTAGCTTTAGCTAGAGCTGTTCACAGGTCTTTAGGAGGCTGGAGACCTGGAGGCTCCTGAAACAAGGAAGGAGGTAGCTCTGACACCAGCAGGCAGCAGGTAGAATAAAGAAGGGAGCTGGGAAGCCTGTGCAGGTTCCTCAGTTGGGTGTCCCATCCATCTTAGAGCAGGCTGTCAAGAACCTGATGGGGTTCACACCACTGTTTGAACTTCCTTAGAAGGTCATGGGGGCAGAAATGTGGAGATAAATTGATGGTTATGTTTGGTTTGTAAATATGCAGGGTGTTAAAGGAAAAGCCGCGGCCTCAGCATTCTCACACCACTCAAGGAATCACATACACACCACCTGAGACTTTAGCTGCTGGGAGGGCACTCTTTGTAGCAGGCAGCTCCAGTAAGCTGACAGGTGCCCATTTGACCCCTCACTCGAACACACACTCACTCAAGGCTGACTCCTCCTCCTTCAGGCTCAACCCTAGGTTTCCTGTAGCAAAGCCCCCAGCTCAGATTTTATAAAAAATAGTTTAGTGGTACAGCACTAGGTCAGCTCAAGCTGGGTGCCTTGGAGAGGGACCCTGAGCAAAGAAACCCCTGGGTAATTATAGCCATTCAACTCATGCATCCACCCCTCAGGCACTCTCCTGCACCTCTTGGTCCAGTGGTGGTTTTTGGTCTGGGCCCTTCTAACATCTTACTGGGTTCTTTCTCTGTGTCTGTGCAGGCAGGCCATACACTGTTTTTATCTTGTGGAGTTACAGCTTCTGCTGACAGCTGGAGTCTCCTTGTCTTCTGGTTTGTACTTCTGGTGCACCTGCTCGCTGGCAGAGCATGGGGGAATAAAAAAGCCCTAGGCTTGGGATAAACACTATTCAGCAACAACCACAGCAGCATCAGTGTGTTATCAATGCTCCTCTCATAAGAAAGACAGAACACAGCACTGCACCATCTACTAGAAAAATTACTAGGAGAATTAACTCAATTCCAGCCAAAAACATCTCTAGGTGTAAACTCAGGGCTTGTGTCCCAAGGCTTCAGTAGATCCAGCTACTGATGTTAGGCAAGTAAAGCTGAGCAATCAACATACTAGATCACACAGTATTATAACTCTATGAACCCATTCTAACTCATTCTACTGAAAACTTACTTATTTGAGCTAAGAACTAATACCTCTCAACACAGAGTTTCTGCATTTTGTCAATGTGTTTCATGCTAAAGGATGCAAATGCTGGAGGAGCAGCCAAGTGGTTTGAGAATCATTCTGTCCCTCAGAGGAAATACTTCCTCTGCAAAACTGTTAAAGACCCAATGAGGACAGGAAAGGCACAAGAATTTGTCGCAGATTTAAAATTAGAAAGTGAATTTGTGTCGTTTGGAATTTCTCACTGCAGGCAGGACAGTACAGGCAGACCTCATCCTTGGGAGGTGCAGGTGTCTTGCTGTGCTCCTTGGTCTAATTCGTGACCTTCCCAGCAAAAATTTGTGTGTTCCCAGCTATGGGGCTGCTGCTCGGTACCTCTGCTCCAACTGCAGACTCCTCCTGCTGTAGGGTGTTATGGTCAGACTTCCCTGGGACAGTCTGGGCTCATGGGCTGTGTGTGCTGAAGGGAGGAGGGATAATGCTGCAGGGAAAACCAAGGGCAAGCCCAGTGCTGGGCATCCATGAGGGCACAGCCGCAGTGAGGCATTGGGACCATCCTCTGCCTGCAGTAGGTGAGGCAGACAGAGACTGGGGGTTTGTTGCTGGATTCTTCCCATTAACCATCCCAGTTCCCCACTGCTGATAGCACCACTGGGCTCAGGACAGGATTTTTTTTTTTTCTCTTCAGCCCTTGGCTGAAGTTTGGCAGGGAGGGGAAAGGGCAGGGGGGACTTGCATCTCAAGTGCTGCAGCCCTTCCTTCAGGGAGAGGAAAACCAGCTCTTTTTGCCCATTTGAAACAGTCTACTGAGGGGTTTCTGTATCCCTGCATTTCAATACAGAGACCCGGGCCTCATCAGAGGGTTTGCTGAGGCTCTGAGAGTGAGCCCCATGCCTTCCCTGGGGACAGCTCAGAGCTGCTTCACACAAATGTCCTGGTGCACTGAGAGTCTGCTGGAGCGGGAGGGGGATGTGAGGCTGCCGTAGGGGAAGCAATGAGTTATTCATAAACACAGCAAAGGAGGAAGCTTATCATGCTCAGAAAAAATGCCTGCTAAAAATATATCCAAATGGTTTATATGGGACGCGAAGGATTGCCCGAGGAGCAGAACCGAAAGTGGTGACAACAATGGCTGTGAGAGAGGCTTTTCAATCCCAAATGTCGAAGGCGAGAGTCAGGGAGCTTTCCAAGCTGATTGCCATCCAGAGCGAGCTCGGGGCGACAAGGTTACAGGATCTGCCTGATGGAAGCAGTCAGGCCCAGAGGGAGCAGCGTGGCCGGGTCTGCGTGCGGAACAGGGGCTGGCAGGGCAGGAATGGCCGAGGAGGGGCGGGCAGATCAGGAATGGCCAGCAGGTCAGGAATGGCCAGCAGTCAGCATCAGCCTGCTCATTGCATCGTGTGGGGCTGCTGGGGGTGGCAAGTCAGGGGCGCTGGGACCAGGGCATGAGGGGGCCGTGCCCGTGGCAGCACCCAGTGCCCCAGAGCAACTGTGGTAGGGAGGGGGAAGGGTTGGCCCTGGTCACCCCTGCAGGCCAGGCAGCGGGTGAAAGCCTGGCAGTGGAGCAATGCGAGGTGAAAGCAAGCTGCTGGCTCACTGAGTCACACCAGAGCAGAGAGCCACGGGCAAGGGGGAAAGGATGTGGGGAGCACCGTGGGCCAAGGGGCTGGAGTCATCCAGCTGCCCAGCAGCGAGTCTCTGCAGAGGTGGGCAGGCACAGTAACCCAACAGCGAGCAGGAAAGCACTGACCTGGAGCAAGGGGGACAAACCCTGCCTGAGGGCTGCAAAGGTGACAGCTGGATGGGGACAACCTGTGACCTTGATGAGGTGAGGGGGTCTGAACAGAGCTGGTTGATGACAAAACCTGTGGCAGTAACAGGATCTGGTGTGAACCCAAACAGAGATGGGTTTTGGGGACTTTTTTGGTCCCAGAAAAACAATGACCTCGTTATGGGCTATTTTAGCAGCTCTTCAGAAACAGTGGCTCAGACACACAGAACTGCAAGGAGGTGTAGACTGATGTTTGTGCAAGAGAGAACTCTCCACTGACAAGGACCACACCTCCTGGATGGGAGACCATGCTCTAAGTGAGGAACAATACCATGTGTGGCTGAAAAGAACCTTAATTTCCACAAGTCCCCAGTGAATGAAATGAGAAGTGAGATAGGCTGAGCAGAGGGCTTCTAGAAGAAGCTGAGCTGTCTTTGGGGCTGTTGAATGGCAAGGCAGGAGGCCAGCTGGGAAGGAGCACGGCCCACCAGGGTGAGTGACACGACCTCCACCTCACCAATGGCAGCAGTCAGATATGTTGAGAGGGATACTTGCAACAGAAGCACCAGACTTGGGGTTTGGCCTTGTTTTAGTGACTTGGAAATCCAGGGTGACAAGCTCTGGTTTCAGCAAGATGGATCCCAGCAAACAGCCAGGCAGAGGTTAATACAAGTTTAGTGCCTCATCTATTTTCCAGGAACTGTGGAAATGGTTAATGCAGGAATTAAAAAACAAAATAATAAAAATTTAAAAGAAATACCTCTCTTGGAAGTACCTAAGAGCATGAGAACAAGTGCCCAAAGGGAAAAGAGCTGATGAAGGGCTGTGCTGAGCCCTCCTGGGTCTGCATGAAAAGGTCTGAAACAGCCACAAAGACACAGGAATGTGGAGGAAAAAGAACATTTTTTTGGGCATAATAATATTGCTGGAAATGCCAGGGGCTTTTTCTTGATGTTCAGCGCCACTGATCCAAGTGTGCTGCTGCTCCCAGAAGGGCAGCAGGACCCGCGGCAAAGAGGGAAGCAGCTGCCATGAGCCTGCAGCCCAGGGACTAGTGGGGAACTGGATGTGAGGGCTGGAGCAAAGGACAGGGCAGCGAGGTGGCTGCTTACTCCGTGCAGCTTTTCATAGGCTGTCCCATGAAGCTGCCTCTGTGGTCCATGGCCAGCTGTGGCTGTGCCAGGCTGGGGGCAGAGACACTTCTCTTTCTCCTGGCGCTCTGAAACCAGCTGGTGGTGGGGAGAAGGGGCACAGTTGTGCCTTCTGCTCAGCAAGTCCCCCTCTCTTCCCTGCACTCACAAAATGCTTTTCCCAGCTGAGGGTTTTGCCACTCCTCTGACAGTGAAGGCTGTGAGAGTGGGGCAGCAGGGAAGAGGCTTGCAGCACTCAAGCAAGATCTTGTGTATCTCCCCACTCTTTTTGCAGGAGCCTTTCATTCCGAGGGAAGCAAGCAGCTTCCCCACACAGGGGATTCCCCAGCCTAGACCAGTGCTCCAGGAGTGATCCCAGTACCTCTCAATTGCAGCAGGGTTCTTTCCGCTCCAGCCCCCTGGAACCATGGATCACAGCATTGGGACTGTCAGAGAGAGACCAGTTGCTGGACACTGGGACTTTTTGCCATTGCCATGGCACGGGCAGGTGGGAGGTAGGATCAGCAGGGGCACAGCAGCATCACATCAGTCCCAGGGACAGGTCTGTAAGGAAGCACGAGTGTCCCCGTGACTGCACTGGGGAACAGCATCTTGTGTTTATCCTGCTGCAAGATTTGGGCACTGGTACTGCTCTCCCACACACCCTAATCTCTCCCACGAGGTGAAGGGACTTTGAGAAGTCACCTCACCATTGCATCTGTGCTGAGACATGAGCGTGCTCAAGCTGGCCTTAGGTGACATTAACTTGTTCCTAGAGGGCTCCCAAGGCAGCCTGCTCTGGTGTGGCAGTATCCTTGCAGTTAGAAAGGCTTCCCAATGTCTAGTGCCTGCCCTTGCTTTGCAGATCACTGCAGGTCTCACTCACATGGTAAGGTGATTGATTTCTCTGTGGTTTCAAAATCACTTTGTTGAGCTACAGGCCACAAATAATACCTGCAGTGGCTATAGTTTCCTCCTAGTTTTTGAATCTGGAATGCTGCCCCCCTGCTAGGGTGCCCTTTTCTTCAGAATGACAACGATTTGCTTTTCTGCATTCTTCCAGGACTTTTCCCTCTGTGAGTTTCCCAAGTGATTGTTACAGCTACAGGATTATGGAAGCAGCATTATTAGCAGTCTAGATTGAATGTCACCAGCTGACTCCAATACACCCACTTTGGCTAGGTATAATCTATTCAGCTGGCATTTCCCTCCAGTTCTTTTCCCGTGCCTCGGTTTCCTTGTTAAAATCCTGTGATTTGTCACAGACAGAAATACAGAACTTGTAGCATGAAAGCTAATGCTCAAAACAAGGGATTTAAATGTTTAAAGCCTCAAGAGGACAAGTATGTGTGGCAGTGCTTCTCCAGTTGCTCACCCACTGCAGGACTTCAGCAAGGACACTCTGGGGAAGTGACTCCCATGAGAGGGTTTGTGCTGTGCCTGCAGCAGGCAAAGCCCTGCCTATGCTGGCTTTTGTCTGACAGGTCAGGAGCTGGTAGCCCCAAGAGCTCTTGGAGTGGCTGTCTGAGCTGCTGGGGCTGTTTCTTCTCTCATGACTCAGGGGGCATCCTCCGTGCAGCTGCAGACATGGATAGTATTCAGCTGTAAAAACCCCTCCTTCCCCACCTCTGCCTGCTGGGGAGCTTGCAGTCACCACAAACAGCTGATAACACAGCCAATTCAACTCCACAATGCCAAGCTGCTGCCTTTATTGCTGGCTGCAGCAACTTGTGCATGTACAAGCTCCAGTTAATGCGAGGAGGGGGCCCTGGGAAGGCACCCACGGACATTTAAACACACACAGAGGTGACACTGGTGCCTCTTCACCCAGCACACAGCCACAAGGAGTGTGGTGGCTCTGCACTTGTGCCCAGCCAGGGGGGTGGGATGGGACACCTGCTCGCCCCAGGCCACAGTGGTCACTGTGCTCCCAAAGGGTGCAGGGGAAAGAGTGGAGCTGCCTTCAGCCAGAGCACAGCCACCATCAGCAGGTGACTGGAGAGCCAGTGCCGGGCATCCCTCCCATATATCAGGTCTGATATGTGCAAATGCATGCAAGGAGTGGGCAGAGAAAGCTTGTCCTCAGTGAGTAAGAAAAGGGGGAGGGAGTTGCTGGTCCAAATGGGCATTACAGGGAAGGAGGAGCCTGACTCCTTTCAGAGGTGTGCAGTGAAAATTTCAACCCCATAGAGAGAAAATTAGTAGTAGTAATGCAGTACACAGTGCCAGCATGGTGGTGGGTTCTCCACCTGTGAGGATGTTCAGGCGTGATGGACAAGACCCTGAGTGACCTGCTTAAGGCAGGGGATAGACCAAGTCTGATCAAACTGATTACATGCTTGTATGAGTCCCACCTGCCAGGACAGGAACCAAGAAAGGGCACAGTCTGCCTTGGAAGGAAGAATCATAGGGCAGCCCAGGCTAGAAAGGACCTCAAAGGATCACCTGGTCAGACCCTGTGTGGGAAAGGGAGTCTGGGTGAGACGATCTGGCACACTCTCTAGTGGCGTCTTGAAAATCTCCAGCGATGAGGACTCTACCATTTCCCTGAGGAGGTTGTTCTGCAGAATGGTTGTTCTCACTGTAAAAAATGTCCTTGTTATGTCGAGATGAAACCTGGGTGTGCACGTTTGTGTGCTGCATAGTGAATGTGACGGCTGCACGTACCTACAGACAGACACCTGCCGGGAGCAAGCCCCATCACTAAGGGAGGAGGGATGCTGCCCACACCTGCTTGGGAGGCGGGGAGGGGGCGCGGGGCTCCCGGCTCTGCGAATAACATCGCTGCCCCTTTAAAAGGCAGCGGCCGCGGGTGCGGGTGCGGCGGCCCCGGCCCCCCTGCCCGGCCCCGGCGGGAGGCCCGTCCCGCCCGCCCTGCCGGTGGCCTGATCGCGGGCACTAATCCCGGCAGGGCCATGTGAGCCGGGCGGGCGGCGCGGCCCGGGCGGCGGGCGGCGGCGAGGCCAGCCGGCTGCAGGCCGAGATGCTCCAGCTCGACCTCATCGACGCGGCGGGGGACACGCCGGCCGAGGAGCAGACGGCGCCCGAGCCGCTGCAGAAAGACCCCCCGGCCGGGACCACCGAAGTCTACAGGCCGAAGCGACCCACAACCCTCAACCTCTTCCCGCAGGTGCCTCGCAGCCAGGTGAGCCGGGATGGGGGGCTCGGGGCGATTGGGTGGTGCGGAGGAGGGGGAGGAGGAGGTGGAGGAAGGATGCTCCCGCCGTCTGCCGGGGCTTTTGTCTCGGGCGGATGGAGGGAGGGGGAGGGAATGGAAGGGGATGGTGGGGCTCGGCTGCGCTGCCCGCGGTGCTCGGCGCTGCAGCCGCCCCCGCCATCGGGGTCCCTTCCCACGGCCGCTCGCGTTATCCCGGGCCGGGGGCCGCGCAGGCCGAGCCGGAGGGAGCGATCTGCGGGCCCGAGGCTCCCCGGGTGCCGGGGACCTGAGCACGCCCTGCCCGGCCGCCCCTGCGCACCGCCGAGAATCCCAGCACTGCCATCGGCGGGGGGTCTTTGAGGGGGCTTAGGCGCCGGGTGGGTCCTTCTTTCATCTCTGGTGCCGAGGTGGAGAGAAGACGCCAGGAATCGTGCCGGGACTGAGATGTGCCCCAGCAGGGTCCAGGTGGCCTGGCAGGGTGGGAGCTGCGAAGGGCTCCCGTGGGATGGGGAGCACACGAGGCACGGATACCGAACGCGTGAATGAGCCATCGGGGGACGGGGCACCACGGCACGGACTGGCGAGCCCGGGACCGGCACCAACAGCTGGCTGGGCTCCAGCTGTCCCGGGCTGGGGCAGCACCAGCTCTAGGGCAGGCTGGTGACAGCAGGTGCCCCGTGCCTGGCAGTGGGGACGTGGTGGCCTCAGCTTCTGAGCGGTGGTGCCTGGCAAGAGAAGCATTAATGTCAGAACCCCGTACAAAATCTGAGAGAGAGAAAAACAACGCCCAAAATGGTGGCCAGAAGAGCAAGGGGGTACTGTTGTCTAGCTCACACTCAGATTTTGTAAAGATTTTGGATGGTTTTAGCCAAGACTGCGTGCCCCACACAGCCATAGTGTTACTGTCACCCCTGGAGAGGATGATGTCTTGGTGCCCTGCATCCTGACCCCCGAGGCAGTGGCTGGAGCCCCTTTGCTCTGCTGCTTCTGCAAACTTCACAAGCCCACGCAAAGTGCACGACGTGCAGGGCTATTTTTGCCGCCCTCCTCCATTCAGCTCTGCCTTCTGCCAAGTAGGAGGATTTTCGTCGCGGTGACGTTCAGCCGAGGAGCATGAAGTGAGAGGCAGGTGTCCCCGTGGGTGACAGATGGGGAGTAGTCAGAGCTGGGTGTCACCAGCCCAGCACCGGCAGCTGATGCCAGCTCTCTGCCTGAGGCCATGGGTGGGAGGAGGAGGAGGAAGGCACAGAGCCAAGGATAGGCGCCCGCAGGCAGCTGGCACCGGGGACAAAGGCAGCAGGGCTGGGGAGGCGGGGGAGCTCCACTGAGCATAATGGACAAGGGGATAGCAGCAGCCTTGTCCCACCCTGTGCAGGGACCCCCAGGAGCAAGTGGTGTGTGGCAGCCACATCCAGCTGGGGGAGGTGGGGAAGAGCAGGGCCTTCTCCCAGACACTCGGTCCCAACCAGTGTCCGGGGCTGGGAGCAGATGTCTGGAGAGGGATGTGGGTGGGGGGAGTTGCAGAGATGGTAGGCTGGGGAGGGGAAGCTGATGGTCCCCTTGCAAGGAGATGGTGGAGGCTGTGGAGCTCACTGTGAGGTGTGGGCATAGCTGAGCTGAAGACATGGGGAATGGGAGAGGGGACTTTGCTACGGCTGGCAATGGGAGCCTGGAGCCAGCGGGGATGGTGGCACAGGACTGCGGCATGGCTGGCCAGGTAGGATAGTGTTGTTGGTAGGATCTAGTGAGATGCTGGCTGTAAGGTGCTTGGGGTTCCCTTTCTGGATGCCTACCTCTAGCCAGAGCCACTTTCTCCCTGTCTACATGGGGTGCCCTGAGGAGAGGACAAGGGTGCAGGGCATCGCCTTGGGGACCAGCCTGTCCCCAGTCTGTCTCCACTTGTGTGAGACACTGCATCCCCTTGACCTGCTCAGCCCCCTTCTCCTACAAGTAGTCAGAAGAGAGACCATGGCCATGCATCCTCTCTTGAATGCCCAGTTGGGGCACCAGGAACTCTGCCAGCCAGGGTGTTCACAAAACACAGAATCATCCCACCCTCTGCTCTGATCCTGTGGGGCCAGGATCCAGTCTGGTGATGTCTCAGTTGCTGCTGGGCGCTCTATGATCATCATCCCAGGCAGGTGGCCTGGAAATGGTGAGAGGAACATCTCCAGCTTCCCAGAGGGCAAGAAACAGCTATTGTGACTGGCTAGGTTCATCCTTTGAGACTTTGTGAATGCCTCTCCACCCTGGCAGGGCATTACAGACACCTGAGTGCTCTGGCCCTGTAGGCATGGGTGGGCTCAGTGGGCTGTGCCTGCTGCATTGCTGCCTCCTGTCCCAGTCCAGGCAGCCAGGTCGGCTTGTGTGTGCTGGCCTGTGGCACTCTGCACGCAGAGACCATCGTTGTGACAGCTTGCCTGGCCCACATCCCAGCCCAGTGTGTCCCTGAGAAAGGCTAGCAGGGACGTGCTGTTATTTGCCTTGGCACAGGCAGGACTCAAGGAGGCCACAGTGGGAGGCTGCCAGAGCTCTGTGAAGGGGGTCTCTCCCTCCCCACATGGAGGCAGGGATCTGGCAGGCATGGTTCAGCCGTGTGTGACATGATGGAATTTTGGGGCAAAGGCTTCCTTCGTGTCAGTGAGGAGGTAAAGTAAGGACAGGGCAGCTCCTGTGCTGCTGGGAACAGCTGTGGGTTGGTGATAAGGCCGTGAGAAAATCCGGGGAGTCCCAGCAGGGCTTTGCTACTTTAAGCAAGAACAAACAGTGCAAAATGCTGCAGCTGGGGCAGAAACATTCAGTGCCCCATTGGAGGCTGAGAGCGTGGAGCCAGGGACACCCTGGGGATGGATGAGGGCTGGCACTGCACCAGGCAGGATGCCACACCCTGTGGAGACAGGCAGGGGGGACTTGTCCCCCATCTGCAGGAGGGTCCTCATTAGAGGGGACTTGGTGTCCTTTGCTCCCTGGGTGTTGCAGCAAGGCTGAGCATGTGTTCCTTTGCGCCTATGCATGGCCAGCCACCCAGGGCTGGGCAGGCAGGGCACAGCACCCACAGAAACTCTCCCAGGCATGGGCAGCATGGATGGTCTGATCCTGCCTCTCCTCTCACGCTGCTCAGAATTGACATCTGCTAGTGAACTGTGTATGTGTAGATTTGCATGCGTACACACTATCTGTGTATGCTCCTGTGTACATCCAATATGGGTGTCTCCAGAGGCAGGAATTAATCTATCCAGTAGCTGGCTTCTAGCTGAGGAGCAGCACAACACCTGGTCCTTGGCATTTCCCCTATTTCATTAAGCTGGGTGGTTTGAAGGTAGGCAGGGCTGGCAGGATGGGAGCAAAGCATGCAGGCAGGCTCAGGTCTTGAATTTTTTGTCTTGGGACTGTCCAGCTGTGGGCTTCTGCAGCCAGGTTTTCCCTGATGAAGGAGTGCAGCCCAGCTGGCTCCTTGCCCACCCTGCTTCAGCCATCACGGCACTCTTGCAGCAGCAGCATGCTCAGCTGTGGGGCTGGTGGTCTCCCTGAGCATCACATGCCCCAGCAGAGCGGGGTGCTGTGGGCCCAGGGAGGAATGGGTGCTGCTGTGCCATGTGCTGTTTACTGTTCAGGCTATAAGGCAGCTTTGTTCTTCTCCTCAGGACACTCTGAATAACAACTCTCTGGGGAAAAAGCACAGTTGGCAGGAGCGGGTGTCCCGGTCATCGTCCCCTCTGAAAACGGGTGAGTTCTCAGGGTTTTGGCCGGGGTCAGCTCCTTGCACCCTTTCATGGTGCTCAGGAGCCTGAGGCAAGTGGTGCTGGAGCAGGAGGTTGGGGAAAACGTGCCACATGGATGCAGGGTGCATGTCCGTCTTGCTCTCTACAATTACCTGAAGGGAGATTGTTAGTGAGCTGGGAGTTGTTCTCTTCTCCCAAATAACAAAGAGCAGGATAGTTGCACCAAGGGAGGTCTAGGTTGGACATTAGAAAAAATTTCTTTGTTGAAATGTTGAACAAGCATTGGAAAAGGGAAGTGCTGGAATTACGATCCCCTGAAATATGGAAAATTGTGTAGATGTGGTGCTTAGAGACATGGTTTAATGGTGGGCTTGACAGTGTTAATACTTAGACTTGAGAATCTTACAGGTCCTTTCCAACTTAATTGATTCTGTGATTCTGTGAGTTTGGGTGACATCCCTGGACACCTTCCCCATCAGGGAGCATTCCCTCTGTGTGGCTGTCTACTCTGCTCTCCTCTCCCCACAGGTGAGCAGACCCCTCCCCATGACCACGTTTGCCTGAGTGATGAGGTCAATCACCAAAACAGCACAACCTCCACCAAAGACCGGGGCACATCCACGGAGAGCCCGTGCCGGCGCACAGCAGCCACGCAGATGGCCCCAGCCTGCGTTGCCTCATCCCGGCCGCCCGAGAAGCACCAGGCCCCCAGCCGGGCCCCACCGCATGGTGCCAGCGTCGTGGTGGTGACCAGGGGCCCCGAGGCCCACCGGGACCGCATCCGCTACCAGACGGATGTGAGGCTGGAGGCCACGGAGGAGATCTACCTGACACCCGTGCAGAAGAACTCGGACCCCCTGGAGAATGACAAGCCGTTCCTGTCCCAGTCCAGTGAGAACCGCATGTCCATCAGCTCCGACATCGACACCTCCGGCTACTCAGCCCTGGCAGGGAAAACCAACCCCTCCATCAGCGAGGAGGATGAGGTGCTGGACTACCTGTCCTCCCCTGACAAGACAAACCTGCCCAGGGCCTCCTGTGGTGGCGGGAGTGGTGGCTCCCGGCCGGGGCACAGCCTTCAGAGAGCCTCTGTGAGTTCGGACACCAGTGCCCTCTCCTATGACTCTGTCAAATACACACTGGTGGTGGATGAGAACGTGCAGCTGGAGCTGGTCAGCCTCAAGCAGTGCTACTCGGGCTACAGCGATGAGAGCGACTCGGCCACGGTCTACGACAATTGCATCTCGTCACCCTATGAGTCTGCCATCGGCGAGGAGTATGAGGAGGATGCGCTGAAGCGTGACTCAGTCTGCCTCTCTGAGGACTCCACCCCCGAGGCAGACATCCACTTCTCCAAGAAGTTCCTCAATGTCTTCATGAGTGGTCGGGCACGCTCCTCCAGTGAGTGCTGGGCACAGGGGAAGGTGGGCTGGTGGCTGCCTGCCCTGGCAGCCCTGCCTGTCTCTGGTACGTGCTCAGGAGATAGGAAGCTACCAGCAGACCTCAGCCCCAGTTCTGCTTGCTGCAGCCTGTGGCTTTGTTCCTGGTGGTCCAGGAGGCATGGTGGGGCTTGGAAAAGTGTTATGAGTGTCTGGTGTGGCTGGCAGTAGGTGTTTGAGGCTGCATTGAGGTATGCCCCAGATATGGCCATGCTGAGGGGGAGGCTGAGTGAGCTCACAGGGGGGCATCATATTCCTGGCATGCCACACTCCTCTCCAAGCCCATAAGAGCACTGTTGGCATGCTCCAGCAGGCAGGGTTTCCCACGGTGTGGCTGGTCTCACGCTGGTGTCACAGCTGTTTGTGTTGGTGTAGGGAGGCCTTGTTCCCAGCAGGGACTGATGGGCACCAGCGCAGCAGCTTCAGCCATGTCTCTCTCCTGTGGCATCACAGGACTTTTCCCTGTGAGAGTTTTTCTTGGATGAACCATCCTGCAGGAGCCTCAGCAGATGGCCTGGCCCATGTCCTTCTCTTGGCTGTGATGCTGATCCCTCAATGCTGACATGTTCTCCTCTGCCTTTGTCCCCAGGTGCTGAGTCCTTTGGGTTGTTCTCCTGCATGATCAACGGGGAGGAGCAGGAGCAGACTCACCGTGCTGTCTTTAGGTGAGCTTGCAGGCACAGGCAGTGTACCCAGCCTCTATCAGGGGAAAGCTGGTTCTGCGCTCCCACCAAGGGGCCAGCACAAACTCCAGTGTTTCTGGTGTGGGAAGCCCTGGGGAACAAACCTGTAGCCTGTAGCTCCTTGCCCTGCCCAGGAGCAACATTTGCCCAAGCTGCTGCATGGGCAAGACCTCCACGTGCAGTCAGGGCCTCTGAGGAGCAGCTGGGGTGGTGCAATAGGGGATACCCTTGCATTAGGTGTGAGGATGCTGCTGCCTGTTGAGGCCAAAACTCCTCCAGTGCTTTATTTAGCATGTCAGGTCCCCATGGCTACCAGGGCACTGCCAGGGTTGTGGGGGTGCCCCAGCAGTGTGCCAGTGAGAAGGGCACCAGCACTGCTAGCCAGCCAGCTGCTAGTGCCTCTGTGCCCAGGTTTGTGCCTCGCCACGCGGACGAGCTGGAGCTGGAGGTGGATGATCCTTTGCTGGTGGAGGTGCAGGCAGAAGATTATTGGTATGAGGCCTACAACATGCGCACAGGAGATCGGGGCATCTTCCCTGCCTACTATGCTATTGAGGTCACCAAGGACCCAGACCACGTAACAGGTATGAAGCCTCTGTGCAGGCTGCTGATGCCCCCACATCCTTGTACCACATCCTCCCTGCTGAGCAGTCTGGTGCTGAGCAGGGGGTAGGGGGGAGGACCAAACTAGGCATCCAGCAGGGAGCAATGAGCAGGTTCTGCTGTGATGCTGGGATTTGGTAGCTGGTGTTGAGGGAAGCTTTTCCTGGGCAGGGAAAAGCACAGGGGTGGGAAGGTGGAGAGGGGAGGTGGAGCTCAGCCCACATAGCTGGTCACCAAAGATGATCCCTGCCATGTGCTCTCTCTTGCAGCTCTGGCCAAGAGCAGTGACTGGGTGGACCAGTTTCGGGTGAAGTTCCTCGGCTCCGTGCAGGTTCCCTACCACAAGGGCAATGATGTGCTCTGTGCGGCCATGCAGAAGGTAGTGTCCCACTCCATCCCGGGGAGCAGGAGGGCCTGCTCCATCTGGAAGCAGGGCAGAGCCTCAGTGGGGAACCATCATCACTGCTCACGTGTCCCTCTGCTTTGTCTGTCTCTCTGCAGATTGCCACCACGCGCCGCCTCACTGTGCACTTTAACCCCCCCTCCAGCTGCGTCCTGGAGATCAGTGTGCGCGGGGTCAAGATTGCTGTGAAAGCTGACGACTCCAAGGAGCACAGCAAGGTAGTGCCCCCCTCCCTGCATCTCATCCCTTCCCTCATTGCTGCTCGTGCCCTCTGTGCTGCAGGCCATGATTACATATGAAAATTAAGGGTCTCCACCCCACGTCTGAGAGTGTGAGAAACACCATCATCAGCATTTTAGGCTCACCATCGAGATCCCCCATCCATCACAAGGCCCCAGCTCGGGGCAGTACTGCCAGCTGATGCTCTCACAGCTGCCAGGCACGTCACTTGCTGGGATGCTGCGAGCTGAGCCGTTCCTGGTAATCTGTCAGCTGCTTCTAAACCTTTCTGCTGCTATTTTGAGTGGTGTCCTCCAGATCTGCCTTGTAATCTCTTTATCTGGCAAGGCCAGGCTGCTGATTAGCATTCTGCATAAGTAGCCTAGTAAAGCACATTGGGATGCTGAGCAGAGGAAAGTGAGGGCTTTGCAGCAAGCTGTTGGGAAACCTCCCTTCCAGCTGAGGGATAGGAGTAGCTCATGGCTCTGATTGCTGTGATAGAGGTTGTGCGAGGTTTCTACAAATCTTGCCTAAATTCAGAGGATGCCATCAACTTAGCTGCAGTTTAAACTTGTATAAGTTTTCATTTCTGGCTGGGACCCTTTGACACCCAGGCTTGAATTGACTTGTTTAGTTCTAAGTTATCCATTCATCTTCTATGTCCTAGTGTTTCTGAGAGCCTTTTTAGCGAAGAAGGAGGGCTGTGTGTGCTGGTGAACAGCAGCACTGACTCTAGCCTGAGTACAGTCTGACTCAGGGCCTCCAGGGAAATCCTGCAGGAGCTACTGGCGGTAAAGGCAGCTGAGGTGAGAGCCAGCAGGGCTGCCTGGAAAAGCTCCCTTTGTTCAGGTGCTTGGAACAGTCCTGAAACTGCTGCTGATAGCAGCCCAGGATTAGTCTCCAATTAATTTCACTCCTCCAAGTGCGTATTTCCAGTGGCCAGAGACCAGCTGCACTGTAGGGTGTAGGGAGAAAAGCTCTGACAGTTCCCCTCTCTCTCTCTCTCTCTCCCCCAGGTAAACAAGTGTAGCCATTTTTTCCAGCTGAAGAACATTTCCTTTTGTGGGTACCATCCAAAGAACAACAAGTGAGTAGCAAGTGTAGTGCAGCTCTCAACACCAGTAGCTCAGCAGCGAGGCTTTCCTGCCTTCCTGCTCCCTGGGGGTAGCACAACTGGGGTTAGGAAGGGAAGAAGAGGTTTCCCAGAGCCCTGGTTTGGAGGGCTCCCTGTGAGCCCAGTGCTGCAGCTCTGGACATGGGCTGTGGCGTGACCTTGGGGTGGCCACCAGGATTTATGGGGGGCTTTCAGGTCCCAAATCCCTATGCTTAAGGGAGGGTATGCCTCAGAGATGCTGGGGTACCTATGCCTCCTGGTCTGCTGGTCCAGTCACATCCACTTTCTTTGCCCTCAGATATTTTGGGTTCATCACCAAGCACCCTGCTGACCACAGATTTGCCTGTCATGTCTTCGTCTCGGAGGAGTCCACGAAGCCACTGGCGGAGTCTGTAGGGTGAGTCCTGGCTGAGCAGAGGAGGCTGGCTCATAAAGGGCAGGAGGAACAAGACAGCCAGGCTGAATCCTGCCCTCCCCACCTACATGTGGGGCTTGGACCTGGCCCAGGCTGGCACCTCTTCCTCCTGTGAGATGCTTGGCTTGAGAGTCAGGGCTGACAGGGCTGTGGGCATCATATTCCTGACAGTACTGGAACAAGTACAAGGCTTTGCAGGCAGATGGCTGAAAGTCATGCACTGTGCAGGGAATCAGAGCCACAGGGTCTCCCTCCTTGCTCTGATGGCATCTCTGGGGCTAATGCAGAAGAGGTCAGGGCCTGGGGGGGTCAAACAGGCCACAGGGTAAGGAGTGAGGGTCAGGATGGAAACAAGGATCTACAGTTGCCTTGTGGGGAGGCTGCTGCTAAGCTTTGCCTGGTGTTGTGTTGCAGGAGGGCTTTTCAGCAATTCTACAAGGAGTATGTGGAGTACACGTGCCCCACAGAGGACATCTACCTGGAGTAGGGGCTGGCACAGGCACCTCCTGCTCAGCCAGGGCTGCAGTCTCGCCCCTTCCCCGTGTCGTGCATGGACAAGAGCTGCTTTGAGCCTGGAGGAGGAGCGGGCCCGGGGCAGGGCTCCCCGGGGCACGGAGCGCCGCCTCTTTTCGTGACTCCCCTTCCTCGGGCTGGGGGGACGGGAGGGGGGAGGGCTGGACAAATTGTGTTTATTGTACAAAATACTCTTAGTTTATTCTATGGGAGAAGCACCCACCGGGTGCCCTGCTTGTGAGCAGTTGGTGTGGGGCAGTAGTGTGCTCGTGCCCTTTCCAGCTGCAGGCTGGGGTGACAGCATCTCCTCCTTGTGACCATGGCACAGCTTCCTGTCACATCCATCTGGGGTGACTTTTAATTGCAGTGGCAGAGTCAGTCTCTTGTGGTATGATGACACAACAGCTAAAGAAAATGAGACCCACATGCTGGCTCCTGCCTGGGAGATGGGATCACCTCCCTGCCAAGCCCTGGGGAGATGGCTGCTGGGCAGGGATGGCAGAGGAAGCCCCAGTATCTCCTCTGCAGATCCAGAATGAGATGAGACAGCTTTCCCCTGCCTCTGTCCCCATCCCCACCCCTTCCATCTTGAATCCATGCCCTGGGGAGAGAGAAAAATTCCCCTCATACCTCCCTGCAGTAACACTACCCTCGGGAGGGAAGCCTTTCTCTGCCCCTTTCCCCTCTCCCCCAAGCTGCAGGTGGCAGAGGCAGGGCAGGGGGGCTCAGCCCCTGCACAAAGCTGGGTGTCTGCCTGAAGTGGGAAGGGCTAAAGGCTGCAGGGAGCCATGCAAAGCACCAGGGAGGAAGAGCTCTCCTGGTCCCGGTCCCTGCAGCCAGTGATGTCTGTGCTTCAGCTGGATCTGCTGTGATGGCAACAACTATTAAATATGATGGTTCCTGGAGCAGAACTACTGTGGCCTTTGTTTCCCGCTACCAGGCGTTTGGGCCCTGGCTTCTTTCCCTTGGGACCGCAAGAAGAACTGGAGCTTCTCACTATTGGTCCAAGAGCCCTGGCTGCAATCCTGAGAGGCCAGAGAGCATATGATGGCCCAAAGGGCCTTCTGGCAGCTGTTGCTCCAGCCCTCACCTGGGGGGCTGTGGTGGGCACAGGGGCACGCTGGCTCACAGGCGCCCATCCTCGTAGAACTCCAGCAGGTCCAGCCCGTCGCGCTTGCTTTTGCGGGCTCTGCGCAGCTCCGCCGGCCGCACCGGGGCCGCCCGCGTCCTGAAGCCAGGCTGCTTGGGCTTGATGCCGTAATCTGCGGGTGCAGGAGAGGAGCTGGGCCCAGCTCTGGGACAACCACCCACCTGGAGGGCTGAGTGCATGGACAGGGGGTTCAGAGGGGCAAGGAGAGCACTGTACCATCCACCAGGCCAAAGTGCTTCTGTGGAAGCTCCAGGGGAGCAGAGAAATCCTCAGGAACTGAGTAGCTGTTCCTACAGAGGAAAACAAGGGCCAGGAGTGAGCCAAGGTCCTACACCACTTAGCCAGGCTGGCACAAGAGCTCCCACGTGCTGCATCTTTCATCCAGTCTGGCCAGCTCTTGAGGCCTGGTGCCACAAGCCCCAGCCCACGTCAGGGGCCCTGCAGGTACTGGGGCAGGGAGGAGGAGGAGGGAAGTGCCATCACCTCTGGTGCACAGGCTGTGGGAGGGCAGCCCCCAGCAGCAGAGCGAGGAGCAGCAGGCAGCACGGCATGGTGCACACTGACCGGTTCCACTGGTTCCACAGCAAGGTCACAGAGGAGCCACCAGTGGTTGCCCAGGACACCTGCTAGGTGGGGCAGGGGACTTGGCCCCTCCCAGCTACTGCTGCTGTCCCTTCCTACCTTCCCCTTCAGGTCCTGGGCTGCCTCTGCCTGGGCCCTGCCAGCTGCTGAGCCTTCATCGTTCTGGTGTGTGTCCCTCCATATAGTCAGAGCTCCAGGGCTGTCTCTGTCCCTCAGCACCTGCTTGTGCCTTCCTCTCAAAACCTCCAAAAGCAGACCCTTGCATCTCATCTCAGTACCACTCTGTCCCAGGAGACACTTCAGCATCTTCCTCTGCTATAAGACTGAGCAAAGGGAGCACAGTTCCTTGGTCATGGCTTTTCTGTGCTGCTGTTACCACGTTGCAGGGCCTTGCCAGCTGAGGTGGCAACACACCCCTCACACTGGCAAAGTTCTGTTGTCCCCAGCTGTGGTGACCCATGAGGGATGTGTGTGGGACTACATTTCCAGTGCTGGGTGCTGAGGCAAGAAGGCTGTGACCCCTGTAGCCTGAGAATCCCTCAGGGATGGTTCAGGTAGGAATGCTCCTGCTACCCACTTGGGACAGACTTACTACCCAGACAGCTGACTGTGGGGCAGTCCAGTGCCACCAGCTGACTAACCCTTTGTCCTGGCCCACGGAGCCTCCACAGAAGCTGTCTGTGCAGACTGGTGCCTCAACTGTCCCCCCAGTAGAAGAGACACAGGCCTGTCCTAGGCCCTTTAAATGCAACACAGAAGATTTGCTGAATAATCACTTCTCGTCTGCCCTTGGCCAAGCCCCCAAGCCCTGGCTGGCAGCCATTCTGCAAACCCTTTTAACACACATTAGGTGCTAGGAAAGCAGCCTGCACACTGCAGCTCTGTGTACCCCTGGGGAACCCCAGGACTCTGGGGACTGAGGGAGGCACTGGGAATTAGAGAGGCTGTAGTCATCAGCTGAGCAACATGTGGGCCCTGACTGACACAGGCCAGAGCAAAAGCATCTAAGGGATAGAGTATCCCAGGGTAGACAACTGCAAAAGCTGCTGTTTCTGACAGAGAGACCTGCTGGCACCCAGAGACAAGGGATCCCATGCAAAGAGGTAGAGGCTCTTGAGCTCAGTTCTCTCCATTGAGTCAGTTTATTTGACAGACAAGTCTGCTCCAAGCAGATGGGCCAGGCATGGCCAACACAAGCAGGTTGTGGGTCAACCTCAGCGCCATGACATGTGAGACAGTGCTCTCTCAAAATCCACTACGCTGCCTGGCTTTGTTATAGCGCAGCTGTACAAAAGAAGAAAAATCAAGTGCTTCAAAAAACAGTTTCCCCATCACCATCACTGCAGCCACAGAATGGTCCAGAGAAATAGGTGGCCAGGGTTTCCCCACACATTTAGTGTCCATCATTCACTCCTTGATCTGTTAAAAAATTGCATACAACCCCCTCCCTGCTCTGCAGAACAGGAACTTCTCATTTATAATTTAACTGAAAATTAGACATTATCAACATCCCTCCCCCAGACTGCTTGCCCTCCTTAGGAATGTCCAGTCATGATTTTAGCAGAGCGTAATCATCTTCTTATCAGCCCCAGTTATAGAAATAGATTTTCTGCCAAGCAGGCAAGTAATCCATCAGTGGCCCTGAAACAAGAGAACAGAGGGATCATACATGTAGAAAGGCAACAATTTAAAGTGGTGCTTCTATAGGGTATATCCCCCACTTCTCATTATAATCCAAACAACTCCAAATCTCCACTTACACAACTCAGATGAACCCAAGAATTCTATTCTGCCAAGATGTAAGGCAGCACTGCAATGTGGTGCCAGAGATCAGAGCAGGACCAAGAGGGGTGTGAAACATGGTCAGCACAGCCATGGTGTGGGACACCAACCATTCCCTCAGAGCTGACATGTTCAAACTGCAGCGGGAAAGGGGGTTTGCAATGTGCAAGGGGAAAACCCACATGCAGAGAGTCAGGAGAACACTGCTGTGACAGGGAAGAAGGAAGATAATGCAGCGATGGCGAGCAGGTGCAAACACAGAAGCATCTGCTGTAGAGTGAAAATGCTGACGTTGCACAGGGCTTAATGCAGGTTCCAAAGCCTCTCTGAAATCACTAACTGGAGGAAGTGGCTCCTGAGCTAGCCAGCTTTGTGACCTCCCCAGAGAAAGGGCAATCCCATGATGCCAGGCTGATGTAATGTCATATCACTGCCATGAATCACTCCACAAAAGGATTAACATCATCAGGGGAAGGGTGGAGGGAAATGAAATGCTGGCCTATAATAAAGGGATTCTCTGGTGAAGAACTAGAACACAGATCTGGTTTGGCCCTTTGATTTACAGTCAGTTTCTGCCTGGCTCAATACTTCCAGGCACCCATTTACCCCTCATGTCCACACTGTAGACTAGGGATCAAGGAAAAGACCTCAGAACAGGGCTGCAAAGCTGGGGCCCTGGTGTACCAGCTGAGGTACAGAAAGGATGCCCAGGAGAACAGGCCTAGGTGGCAGACACTGAGCTCTGCAGCCTCAGGGCACACAGAGGTTTACTACTGTCATCAAGCCAGGAAGCAATTAATTTTTTCCTTCAGCATTTAAAAATTACTCAAGCATCAACAACTGCTCTAGTGCTAACCTCTCTAAGGACTTTCCAATTCCTTCCCCAGATTGGAAACCAATTGACAAATGTTCCCAACTGCCCTCATTTTTCTTCACCAGGCAGAAATGGGGATATATATAAATAAATGGGGATGTAACAGTGGGACCCACTTACGTGTGATGAAGCCAACTCCAGGCACATAATCAGCCAACAAGCGCAGAAGGAGGAGGATCCTGCCCCTAGAAAGGGAGAGAATATGAACAAGTCCAGCCAGACATCTCCTGCCCCAGCTGCTGAGCACACAAACAGCAATGGCAGCTGTTAGAAAAGGGCTCAGATTAACCTGGTCACAGGCATCCAAACATCCTCAGATCTACTCACCCAGCCCCCTGATGCTATTTCAGTTAAAAGGGAAATGTTCAGCAAAAGCCCAGCCAGGGCCCCTTACTCTGAGTATCGGTCATAGAAAGGAGATCTCAGCAGGTAGTACAGCAGGAGGATCGTGCGTCGCCTCAGCTCCGCCCGCTCTCGCCTGTTCAGGTCCTTCAGATCACTCAGCAAACTCAGACTGGAAGAGGAGGGCAGAGAGCTAAGTCACAGCAAAAGCAGCCAGCAGGGAAAACAAAGGGGGCTTCTAAAGCCCTCCACTCTCAGCTCCATGCAGAGCAGCCTGCACCAACTCAGAACAGAGAGCACTGTAAGTGCTGTAAAAGATGTGTCACTCTCCAAGCTAAAGACCATCCCGGGTGCATATTTCTCTGCCCAGGACTGTGGAACAGGGAAGCGTGATGCCCAGCCACCACCAAAGCAAGCACCTAGAAAGACTCTTCATCAGACTGACCTCGAGATGTCCAGGACTGCTGAGAGGAGCCAGGGCTTCCATGACCTCTGGCCCCATACTCCTAGACTCAGTACTAGGAACACATAGTCAAGGAATGAAAAGATGAGAGATTCCTAACAAGAGGCACACAGAGAAGTGATCCCCTACATACCCACAAAATTCTGCCAAGTGCAGGCAAATACACCCTAAGGCAGGGCTGGGGGCCCCGGGGAAAAGGGCTGGAGGACTTGCACCCACAGCTCCAGTGGCTGAGGCCAGCCACCAAAGGCTAAGAACAGGAAGAGAGCCGAATCCCACGCCCCAGCAGAGCCGCGCAGGGCGCGGAGCTGGCGGGCACTGCCCAGCACCCGGGCCGAGCCCACAGCACCCTCTGCTGGCACAGCCAGCGCCGGGAGCCCGCACGGAGAAGGGCAGGATACGGTGGAGCAGGGGGCGGGTAATGTAGATGGATTCTGCGATGGTTTCTTGAAGACCCAGAGGAGTGGGAGGCTGGTTGATCTCCTCCGTTCTTCGGCTCTGCGACTCCTCCCTCTGCTGGGGGGACCCCCAGTGCCGGGACTGCAGGGACGGGGCTGAAAGAAGCAGGTCTGGTTACTGACACAAATAAAAGCTTTGTCCCAGCTGGAAACTACGGATCACATGACTGCTAGCTCACTCCACCTGGCCCTGGAGCCCTTCACCCCCCCCCGCTGGTTGGATGGGGACAAGAATCAGAAAAAGGTAAAACTCCTGCATTGACATAGAACAGTTTAATCATTGAAATAAAAATAATAACAATTTTAACAATAATATAAAGGAAGACAACAAAACCCAAGAAACACAAGTGATGTACAACCACTCACCATCCCCAGACTGATGTCCATCCCATTTCCAAACAGTGACTGGCCCCTCCCAGCCAATGCCCCCATTTTATACAGTGGGCATGAGGTTCTATGGCATGGAAGATCCCTTTGGCCAGTTCAGGTCACCCATCCTGGCCATGCTCCCTCCCAGCTTTTTGCGCATCTCCTCACTAGCAGAACCCAAGAAGCTGAAAAGTCCTTGACTTAGAGTAACTGCTACTTCTCAACAAGCTACAGTATCAGTTATAACAATGTTATCAACATTAGTGTCATACTAAACCCAAAACTCAGCACCATAACAGTTAGGAGGAAAAAACCGAATTCTATCCCAGCCCAAACCAGGACACCTTCCTATCATGTTTCCTTGCTTTCTGCACAGTGAAGTTGTGAAAGGGGAAAGCTTCAAGAGGTACCTGTAAGATCCATGCTCCTCAAAGCATAACCATGATGAAGAGCTGTCTCTGTTGCACAGCTCACTTGGGAAAACATACTTTAGTGCTAGCCTTGCAGCATGTCTCTGGTTGCTTTGATACGCTCACCTATCCACAGTGGGCCCAGATATGAGGCCCTCTGAGTGGCATTTATATGTGCCAATACAAGGTTCTACCCTCTACTGCTCACACCCATGCCATCCATGAAGGCACAGAGCAGGAACAGCTCAGGCTGAAAAACAGGCTCAGTCACTTACTGCTCTGTAGAGAGCGCACAACACGGCTGGAACGCCTGCCAACATAGGTCTGATCCTTCCCTGAGGAGTTGTCTTCCATGCCTGCAGAAGGAAACAGCCACAGGGGTCAGGCTTCAAAGCAATACGCTTCACACCTCAGAGCTGCCACCAAGAAGACCAGATTGAAAGGCTGATTTAGCGCAAACTGGACAATTCTGCAAGGGTTAACAGTAGGCAGAGGGTGAAAAGGTAAATCTGCCTGACATTGCCCAGGTCTCAGGCCTCTTTCCTCATCACTTAGACCAGGGCACATACAGCCTGACTCATGGTTCAGCCAGCAATTCACAGCTTGGACTTCTCCATCCCCTCCTTCCAGGATGGTCCAGATATTGGACAGCCCTGCCACTAAGCTAACTCATCCTCTGCAAAGGGTGGAAAGTTGAAACACAGCTCAGCCTTGAATACAGACACCTTATGGTTCCATGTGCTGCACAAGCCACTGCTCTCATGAGTAATTCTAGCAGGACAAGACATGTGGCTCAGCAAGGCACCAAGCCAATGATGACAACACCATGGGCTCACCTTGAGGGTGGAGAGGCTGTTGCTTCTCCCTGTTCAGTGGCACAATGGGAGGAGACATCTGGATGCCAGCTTTGTACCACAGCAGGAGCAGGAGCCGAAGGATGGCTCTGTGAACAGACATGTGTAAGTCCTCAATACCAGACTATGGAACTGGGTTCCTGTTACACTGGAGAGATGACTTCCACAGAAGAGGGAAACACTCGGGTCTCCTCAGAGCAAATGGCAAGGTGAGAGGTGGAAGTGCTCCCTTCTGTGGCACAGAGTCCAGTACACCGTGGGGCTCCAAATTCCCCCATCCTCAGGGACTGGCAGCTCAGTCCTGTGTGGGATTTTTTCCAGGGTACTATGGAGTGCCCTCCAGGTCCCCTTTCCGAGCGCACGCTGCCCCTTCCCCTCTGCCCACAGCACTTACTTAGCCAGCTGGATGAGGACAATGATGGTCCACCGGCCCATCTCCCCCCACACCCTGGCTGTCCCCATCTCTGCAAAGACCT